GCTTTTCTCTGCGGCCTTTCAGAAACTCATCTCCCCTTTACCTGCTGTCACGAGAACCCGCGCAAAAGTGTGAAGATCGTGAATCCTGAGACGCAGGGCAGCCATGAACAGGCGTTCGTTACAGAGGCAAAGAGGGAATCAAACGTCAGGTTTTCTTTTTTTTTTTTTTTTTAGATGGAGAAGCCATAAATATTTCTGATCTGGTGTGGCTATTTTGAACCGTGGAAAAATTCTTGTCTCTGAAACTTTTGGTAATTAAGCAGCTGTCGACGCCCTCCAGGGCAGCGGGACAATCCAATTTGTATCCCCGCTAAATCCTTGGCTCCCGGGCAAGTGCTTGGGCCAGCGCGGCCCCTGGTGGCTGCTACAGCCGATGAGAAACGCCAGCTCCAGAGGGGGCTCCGTGCACCTCACTCTGTTACGTGGCCAGCCCGCAGCCACCACGGCTCCTTCGCCATGCGGAACCCTGGCCACTCCATGTCCCCCACACCCCCGTGTCATGCTGTCTGGGACGGCGATGCTAGCCAGTCCCTCACATGCGAAACAAAGACTGATCTGCAGGGTAAAGACCCCCGGTCCCCAGCGCAGTCAGTAAATCTTTGTTGGTAAATAATTGCTATCGAGCAGAGGTTTAATATAAATTTATGAGTGGTGTTTTATCACAGCTTGGGGCTGTGGCGAGCCCTGAGTGATGGATTTCAGGCTGCACTTACATTCATTACGTTAACTTTGTAAGTTATTTAAAGCTTGTGCACTTCACATCACATTGCTCTTGGCTTTCGGTGACCTCCTGGGACTGGGCAAGGACTGCACATCACTAACACGGAGACCGCAGCCAAAGACGGCCCCGCTCTTCACGCCACCGCAGAAGGGGTTCCCTGAGCAAAGGAGCAAGAGGCGCCTGCCTCGCATCTGGTGTTTGGGTTGTAGACCCTTAAAGCCACAGACTCTCTGGCCCACCAGTACGATAGGGGTGGCTGTTAGATCCCCGTTTGCCGTTTCCGAGGAAGGCCAGAGGAGTGGCCGCGAGATCACAAAACCCTCATGTTTCTTTCTCCGCAAACAGAAGACGTCCGTGGGTCTGGGGTGGGGGGTGCTAGGTGACAGGTGATCGGTGCCCCTGCTCTCTTCCTTCCGCAGGTAATGAGCCCAAGCCACAGCGGTTTAATACGGCTGTTTCATTATTCCTCAGCGTTCTCGGAGCCGGGAGAGTGGGCCTGGTGCCCTGGGGACAGCTTGGGTCTGCTGCCCAGGATCACTGCCTCGCTCGCATTGGGCGCCGCTCCCGCACCCCAGGCCTCCGGTCTCTCTTCCCAGTCTCTGCAGCAGGACCATTGGTCTCCCCGCGGGCTGTCGAGGCTCCCGGGCATGGACACAGGGCTGCTGGGCTGAGGGCTTCAGCCAGGGCAGGCCCAATGCGGTCTGACTGCGTCCCATTGGTCACGTGGAACTGGGGGCCAGCACCGCTCTGGGAGCTGGGTGCCTGAGGGTCATCTCCAGAGACCGGCCCCTCAGCCCGCCCACCCACTGGCAGACCACCCTCACCCCATCCCCAGGTACACAGTCTCATCACAGCGTTCGCTCTGGTGTGAAGTCCGGGATTGTCCTGGGCAGCAGGGGCCCCTGGGGACGAGGCTTCTCCGCCGTGTCCGTCAGGTGCTGCGCCTCCCGCGGGCAGCAGGCCTGAGGCCGTTGGGCCGGCCGGAGCACAGTGCAGCCCGGCTCCAACGTCGGTGGCATTTTCCTCGCTGTCCCTTCCCCTCCACTGACTCGACGTCCCCACCCACCTCAGCCAGCTGCCTGGTTCCATGTCTGTGCTGTGTGATGTTTCCTTTTTTTAGCTTTGGCAGGACACTAGCTCTGTTTTTGTCATCTACTGTCGCTGAAAGCTCACTACCTGAAATCATGCATCATTTTATGATTCCTCACACTCCAGGGGTTCAGGACCACGCACAGAGCAGCACACAGTTCAGGCCCAGAGCTCCCCGGGGCGGGGGGCGGGGCGGGGCTGCCGGGATTGCTGCGGGTTCATCTCCGTGCATGGGTGTCACGCCGATTCTGTCAGTTAAAGTGACCCGGGGCGGGGATTCCCTGACCCGCGGGCGCCGGGAGTGTCTGGGGCCCGCTGACGGTGCCCATGGGGACTCGCGGTGACCTCTGTGCCTCGGCAGCCGCCTCTGCAAGGTGGGGCAGGCCCCGGTGGTGGCCCTTGTCAGCTGCAGCGCGTTAATGCTTAAGGTGGTCAGAGCAGCTCTGGCTCACAGTGAGCCCAGCGGTGTTTTGAAATTGAAAAAATAATTTTTTAAAAAAACAGATGTGCAAGCCCCACGGGAGTTAAACACAGGCCCCCATAACTGAGGTCCGCACTGTGGCGGCGAGCCGGTCAGTGAGAAGCGAGCGTGAGCAGGCGGTCCACTTGCTCGACTTCCAAAGCTGCATCTGATGTAGGACAGGCTGGGGATGCGCAGTGACACTGACATTCTGCCGTGTTGTTTCGCCCTGGGTTGCACAGGATCTAAGAGACTCGGAGTTGCGAGGGCCGTTCCCGCTGGCCGAGGGGAGCTGCCCGCCGTCTGTCTCAGGCAGAGAGCCACCGGCCTCTCACCTTCCGGCTCCTGGGACCAGGGCCTCGAGGCCCTCAGCGAATGAGATGAGCTCCTCCTAGGGTTCCCCACCTTCCCAGCACTTCGAGCGGAAAGTGTGTGTGTTCGGGAGGAGGGGAGCGTGGGGGCTGGGTCTGAGACAGTGGGGAGCTGTTCTAGTTGCATCAGTAGAAATTTGTCCCGGGGGGGGCAGCAGGTCCCCCCCTTGGCACTTTGGGGGACCCTGGGTTCAGAGGAGAGGTGCACAGTGGTGGGGAACTGGGCCCTTTTGCTCTGGGAAGAGTCCGGGGCCTGAAGGAGGTGTGGCCGTGTGTCCATGTGGCAGGACATCTCCTTGCTCCCAAAATGCAAGGACACGCTGAGGAGAGGTACTGCTCTCGGTGCTCAGGCTGTCCCCAGCCGCTGGCCCCCGGACCCAGAGACGCTCGGGCAGGGACCATGTGAAACTGTGTGTCTCGGGTGTCACGATGCAGTGGTCTGACTCCCGGCATCTCCTTAGGACTCCAATGTTCCATGGTTCTCACTTGGTATAAACACTGTTTTGAAAAAATTAGTGTTCAGAATTACTTGAAGCAATTACTTTTGGAAAAGAAAAAAACAGGAAGCAGAAGCTATGAGTTTCCTTCCACAGATACTGCTTCCTGAGTCTGTAGTGGCACCTCTGGTCACGAGAGTCTCCCTGGCTCGCAGCCCCGGAAGCCCCCACCGCTCACTGCACACCTCGCACCAGGGGCTCCATCTCACCAGGCTGTTCTGGGTGGGCTCTTTCTGCGGCGGGTGGAGAGGCGCCGTGCGGCCTGCCAGCTCCGCCGGTTGTGCTGGCCACCCCCTGGGTTACAGGCCCCCACAGGCAGGGACAGAGAGGAACACCCTGAGGTCAGAGGGCCGAGGGCATGACCTCTAAGGCCGGGCTCTCCGGACCAGCTGTCGGGAGTGCGGGTCGGCGCTGCTGCCGTCCATGTGAGAACACGGGGGTCCCGCTGTGGGGAGCCCAGCACCTGCAGTGCCCGTGCCTGCCCCTGGTGATTGGGCCACAGGGTGCAGGCACGCCGCCTGCCTGCACCCCCCCCCGCTCCGTCTGGGTTGGCCAGAGTGGCGTGCATGACAGCCCGTTGCCAGTGACTCCCAGCGAGAAGCCACCGCTTTTCTCCTTCTCTGGGGAACATCAGGAAACCTGGTGGCAGGCACAGGGATCCTGCATTCCCTGCCGTCACACAATCCAGGGCCCCGTACAGAACACGTGGCCCTTGTGTCTGAGCCAAAGGGACTGACCTGCCAGCCAGTCTGCCCCCCTCCAGTTCCTGGCAGCCGCGACCGCCCCCTTCCTGGAGCTTCTCCATCACTTGCATGTTGGGCGGGGGGTGCCTCGAGGTTTGCTGACATGGGGTGGGCACCTGTCTCTTCTCTCACCGGGGGTGCAAAAGACCAGCCAGGGAGGAAGCGCAGAGGCGAGGCCGTGGGCCTGGCCGAGCTCGGTGCCGGCCAGCGTGCTGCTTCGCCCAGACAGGGCGGTGGCCTGCTGGGGACCGGGGCTTTGAACCAGAGGGAGTTCTCATCAGCCGTCTAGGGAAGTTTGGTGCGATCGTGCTTCGGTGGTATGTTAGCATCCAAGTTTCAGTGCTTTGCAAGAAGCCCTTAATCTGCTTTCATTAAAAATGGATTTAAGTTGCCCTGGCTGGTGTAGCTCAGTGGACTGAGCAAGGGCTGTGAAGCAAAGGGTCGCAGTTTGATTTCCAATCAGGGCACAGGCCTGGGTGACGGGCCAGGTCCCCAGTAGGTAGCACATGAGAGGCAACCACACACTAATGTTTCTTTCTTTCTCTCTCCTTCCCTTCCCCCTTTCTAAAAGTTAAAAAAAAATTATAAATGGATTTAAGTAAACTCTACACATTTCATCTGGTAAATACCACTGCATTTGAAAATGGAATTTATTTTTTAGTAAATTCAAAGTCTGGCATGAAAACCTGTAAAATGAAATGTTCCCATTTGCAAATATTGCAAGGTAAGAATATCATTAACATCTTGTTTCTAGAAAAGGGAATTTAGCTCTGTGTGTGTGTGTTTTTTTTTTTTTAAATAAAACATGCCTGTGGGTGTGCCAGGTGCACTCGAGAGAGGAAAGGTGTGACATGGCATGTAACACACGGGGGCTCGTGTGCCAGCTGTTCCTGCTCAGCCTGCAAGGCTGAGTTCTCCACCCGCACCACAGTGGTCGGCTGCCGTTGTCCACACTGTAAAATTCGACGCGGGGGAACCCAACCACCAAGCTGAGCAAAAGACATGCTTAAATGGGAAATGCTGTTCCCATTTAAGACAGCGAGTCTTAGATGAAAGTTTAAGACTCTTGAAGTTACGTATGTGCCTGCTTTTAACAAATTGCACTTTGTTAACTCGCAGGGTATGCTGCTGAAGCGAAGCGGCAAATCGCTGAACAAAGAGTGGAAGAAGAAGTACGTCACCCTGTGTGACAACGGCGTGCTGACCTATCACCCCAGTTTGCACGTGAGTGTTGCCCCTCAGAGTCCCGCAAGACGGCGTGGGCGGGGTGGGGGGTGCCAACAGCGCTCTCTGAAGGTCGTGTCCTGCTCCGGCGCGAGATGAGTGATGCGCCCCTCACTCTTTGCGAGACCCCGTGTCTCACGCTCCCTAACCTGGGCCGGTGGCTCTCACCAGTGCACGGAGAACTTGAGTGGGAGGCGCAGATGAAGTAAAATTTTAAAAGAGTGAAGAGACCGGCACGAGCAGTAAAAGAGAAAGGGGGGAAGAGACCACCCACCTGGAAACCTAGACGGGGACGCCATTGCCCAGGGACCCGCGAGGACCAGAGCTGGAAGCTAGTCGAGGGCGGGCGCACCCAGTTCGTGCGGAGGAGGGGCTTTCTGCCCTGGGTGTTAGGGAAAGTTGCTCAGTCTCCGAGGCTTATGTAAAATAGAGGAAAAACAATTCATCTCGTCGCTGGGGGCGCTGCGGGCCTTGCAGCCACACTGAGTTTCTCTAGGAAGCACCGATGCCCCCTGGACACGGGTGTCGGGTTCCCGGGACGCGTCCCATGCTGCTGGCGAGTTTGGTGGGTCTCGATGCAGATCAGTGTATAGATTTGAATGCATAATGCTAGCTGGTCAGCTGCTTGTTTCACTGTGTTAAGCTTTTAATTTAGAAACTCAAATACTTTAAAATTACACAGTTATTGACCAGATGTTAGAAATGAATGTGTTGAAGAAAATGAAAATCACCCCCAGAAAGCTGCCTGGAGAACAAGACTGCCAGCGTTTTGGGGGCACCCTCCCAGCCGCTGTGTGCCTCTCCCCAGGGGTGCTGCTTATGGTCCCCTCGAGTGGACAGTGAGGGAACGTGCCACCTTCCTGTGTCCACAAAGCCATAGGCTCGTGCACCTCCGACCCTCATGGTTACAGTGTGCCTGTCCCGCAGAGGCGCCCGGCTGACTGCACACCGCCTCCAGAGGGGACACTGGGCCACTTAGTTACTTGGCGCTGTTTTTCCCAGACATCCAGTCAGCGTCTCGTGTTCACACCCAGCCCATGTCCCCTTCAGTGGGACAGACCCCCAGCGGTTAGTCTCGCAAGTGGAAGAGCACCGTGCTCGGTGGCGTGAGGTTCACACCGGATTCCTGGGGAGAATATCGGTGTCTCCTCTGGCACCGCATTGGGGGGCTTTTCCCACTGCCCCCTCAGGAACATCCACCTCAAAAATAAGTTCTGCATTTCCCAAGATGGTAGGTGACAAGCGGCGTCCCGGCCTCGGGGCACCACCCCCCAGTCTTAGAGCCACGTGAGAACCCAGGGGCTTGGTCAGCGTCGCCTGCCTGTCCCTGATGATCCTGGAACACCTCTCAGGTCGGAGTTCCTGACTGTGCACTTTGGGGACCCGAGTCAGGTGGCCTCCAAACCAGAGACGTAGTACCCGTCCCAGGAGGCCCCCCACGCCCTCCAGCTGTCATTGGGCCCAGCACAGGGCAGTCTTCACGGGGCAGTCTCCAAGGGGAGGCTGCCCTCCTCCTCCTCAGTTCTTCCCCAGACCCTGTCAGAGAGCCAGGCCTGATTACCAACCTGGATGCTCAGTGCCCTTTGGGGAGAGAACTGGAACCGAAATATTCTCCTCGCTGGACTCACTGAGCAGCTAAAAGGGAGGCCTGGTTGATGAACCCCTTCAGGGCACTGGACTCCCCTGGCCGAGCCCAGGCCTGTCACGGGGCCATTGCCACCTGCAGCCGAGGAGAAGCACGGGAACAGCGGCGTGTATCCAAAGACTCCCGTGGGCGGGCAGACGCCTGCTTGATTTCCACTCGGGGGTCTGGGTTGTGTAATCACACTTAGTGCTCCAACGCCCTCCCACCCAGGCCTCACCTTGGATGCCCCTCGATTCTGCCAGGCCCCTCCCTCTTTAATGCGTGTGCGCGGGTGTTACCGGAACACGGGAAAGGAGTGCGTGGGGCTTTGGTATGTAATCGCATGGCCAGCGAGCGCCGGTGCCGCTTCAAAGCACAGCTGAGTCCGTGCTGAGTCCCGGGAACGGGCACCGTGGAGACGGGCGCACGGCCCCCCTGGGGTGTGGCTGATCTGGGCTTACTCGGGCACCGACAGGCGGCCTGGCCTTAGTTGTCACCCTTTGTCAGTCCTGTTTCCATGACCAAGCTTCGGAGGGGAGCTGGGAGGGACAATGAGCCCCAGGTGCCTGCTCCGACCAGTGCCGGCTTGTTGGGGTGCTGTAGACCTTGACACCACAGTAAACCTGGGTGGGGCCTTGGGTCCGAGCAGCAGAGAGGTGACCCGACCGGGCTTGCGCGTGTGCAGAGCCCTGGCTTCCCAGGACAGGAGATCCAGGGACATGCAGGTGTGTGGTGAACTCACGTGCCCACATTCTACACCTTGAGGCCCGACGGTTTCAGTCCATAAGTTCAAGGTTCCCTGAGGGTTACTGGCCCCTGCAAGGCTGGCCTTCCTCAGAGGGCTGACCTGGGTGGCTCCTGCCAAGTCAGCCAAATTAAATTCCTAGGTGAGCATCCCAGCTGGCTCCAGGGCAGACCGCAGGGAGGACAGAGAGTGGACTGAGACGGGTGCGGGGTTTGCAGCGGGAGGGCAGAGTGAGCCCCGGCCACTCCGCCTGCCGTGTCACTCTGGGCAGTACGGGTCGGTTGGGAGAAGATGCCTGGGCAGCAGGGTGTGGCTGTCACTCGCTTTGGTCCCCACAGGAGCCGGAGGCTAGCACCCCTTGGAAGGAAGGGCATTGGAACGTCGTCCTGGTCAGGTCTGCCCCACAGGGAGCCGGTGCAGCGGCTCCTCCTGCAGGTCCCTGGAAGTGCCTGTGGAACAGCAGGTCACCCTGGGCACCAGCCACGCTGCTCACTCCCGGGCAGGCGCTGCGCAGACACTGGCAGGAGATAAACTCGGGTCGTCAGTGCCAGCGCAGGGCCCCGGCTGCGCGCTGTACTCGTGGCGTCTCAGCAGGGGGACATGCCCTTCGACACCGCACCTCAGAACCAGGCTGCCGGTCGTGAATTGGGGCCAGCGGGCTGTGCAGCGCCCGGTGGGGCTCTGCGAGTGACGGACCTCAGCGGAGTGGCAGCCTCGTTTGTCACTTCCCACTGGTCACTGTTGCTTCAGTCTCCTGTTCTTCATACCATCTCCCCGAGCCCCTCTGGTTCCTAGTCCTTGGGGTCTGCCCAGCTTGGTGGCCTCACCCCTAAGAGTGTCATTCTGTGGTTTGTCCCCAGCCCCAAACTCAGCTCCTGCAGATTGTTCAGGGGACCCCAGCCCTGGGCCCTCCGGCCACGGCTTGGCCTGTGTCCCTTCCCGAGCACAAGTATCCCCGGACCTCCCCTGCACCAGAGAGGGAAGCCATTGAAGGGACCTTGGAGCCTCGGGCATGTGTCCTGCCATCAAGACCCTTACAGGGCCCTCTGGGCGCAGACACCCTCTGCGGGTGCAGTAGAGTGGGATCGCCCGTGTGAGGTCCAATCAGAGCGAGTGCTGGTTTCTCTGGAAATCAGAGAAACCGGACCGAGTGTTACCCCAGCCCAGTTGGAGAAAGTGCGCTGAAAGTCGGTTAACAAACCCCAGATGCACTCCCTCTCCCTCTGCGTTCCACGAAGCCTTGACCCGCGCGGCCCGACTGTCACGCATCCTGGCCTGCTGCCGCCTCTCCCCAAAGGTGCAGGAGCCCTTAGCAGTGGCAGCCTCGGGTCGGCCGGGTCCCCTGTCTGCTGAATTGAAGACTGAAGGGAGGAGACATGGGCACAGGAGGAAGGCGTGGTGGTGGCTTTCAACCCCAGGTGTGTTCAAGACCAGCGGTGCCCACGGCAGCCATGGGGCCGGTGGCAGGGACCCGGTCACTGAGCACTCCATTTGCGCTGGTGGGGGGAGCACGGGGAAGGGGGGCCCAGACAGCCTGCAGGTCCTCAGCGTCGTCCTTCTAACCACACGTGTTCGTCAGCTGGCCTTTGACGCAAACAAAGGCTGGAGCGTGCTGGGAAGTTCAGCTCGCGCGTCTTCCCCTTCCACACGGTGAGGCCCCTCCTTTGAGGCGGTGCGTTTGGAGGACGTGGAGAGTCAGTGGGACGGAGTCGGGACCCCTGGAGGAGGGGTCCTTCCCCTGGTGTGACACTGGGTGGTGCTGTCCTGTCGAGGGTCACTTCCGACCCTTCGAGAGTATGTGGCTCTGCTAAGGGAGCTGTCTCAGACCAGCACTGTTGGGAGGGGGATCGGCCACGTGGTAAGACTAAGATTTGCCAGAAAAGTCCCCTTCGCCTGGTTCATGTTTCTCTCTCAACATGCCGATGTTGGATTCAATAGACCCTGTCATCCAGTTCAGGTGGCAGGTGGAAAGCTTAGCCCAAATACTGAAGACACTCCCAGTAGGGTGACAGCGGCCCCGGTTGCCCAGCACCGAGGGTGCCCAGACGCAGGACTCTCGGGGCTAAGTCCCAGGCCGTCTGGCACCAATCGACCGCCCACCCTCCAGATCCGACTCACTTCCCTGGGCCTTCGCCCGCTTGGCACTTTGCAGAGATGACCTGGAATGTTTAGATGAGACTGACATAGTGAAAGGCAGGACTCCTGGTATTGCTCCTCCGCCGGTTTTGTTTCTCTGGAAAAATCGTATGTGCAGAAGCTCCGAGTACCCAATTTCCTGGGGGCCAGGAGATACGAACAAGCTCTTGTGGCTTTAGGACACTTGGCTGGGTCCCGGTCAGGCTGGGGAAGGGCCACCTGTTCTGTGGACTTAAATACGAGCCCGAGGGAGCACCATGATGGAAAAGTGGGGGGATAAGGAGAGCGAGCTCGGCCTCGGAGCTCCATAGCAGTGCACACATTCACTCTCCACATCCCCGTCCTCAGCTGTGCAAGGCGCAGCCCCCTTCCTGCTGACAGCGGTGTGCATGCTGGGACTTCCAGTGCACCTGCAGGGCTCAGCTCGTGGCCATGGTCCAGCCAAGGGCTTTCCGGAGCCCTGGCCAGCTGTCCTGGGCGTCCTCGGAGGGATGT